AGTTACATCATGCAGAGGCCACGATATTAATAGAGTTCCCGGCTCGACCACTTTGGTTTTATTTACAGCCAGAGACATAGAGATCTGCTGTCCCAAAAGAGGACTTCACCTCATGTCATGAGACCTGCGTGAGCCAGGTCCTGTCTCCAGTACTGCCAGCGTATGGTCAGCTGCAGCCAGCAGGGAAACACAGCTACACTCCCAACTGAGCTCATGTGTAAGTGGAATAACACACTGTCAACATGTCAGTGGAAAAGATAAGAGAGCCATGTCGTTCCCCCTTTCACACATCAAATGCCACTGAACTATTTACAGGACGTAGCAGAGAGGGGTTGCGTATGCATAAAAGGGGAAACCTGTGCAAGTTCACACATCTTGGGTTCACTACTTTAGACCACGTTGGCCATTGGAGCTCCCCACTCTGCCCCAGGGACAAACAGTCCTGCCTGCAGATCTGCTTTGGGGGACTTCTCTGGTGTTTAGGTAAACAGCTTTGTGGCTGCTTGTTTTACTCCTGGCTGCTAACAGGAGGTGACTGTTTATTGCCAGGTGGCGGCCCAGCAGGTGAGAAGTCAGGGGGCATGCATGGGGCAGCCGCAGCAGCAAGGCCAGGAGACTTGTGCCAGGCAGGCACTTCATGCAGCTCTTATTGCTTCCTGGAACCCCAGCAGCAAGACATTTCCTGCTCTTTAACATGAGTGGAAACCAAATTTATTCTTTCCAGTTTGGTGGGTTTTGGGTTTGTTGGAGAAGAAGCTCTGAGCCTGGATTGTTCCTTTTGGTTCCAGTAAAGAGAAAAACAAAACAAATCTCAGCACTAAAAATAAATATTTTTTATCTTAAAATACATTTAATATTAAATATTAATGTAATAAATATTTAACATATTTATTTGTATAAATAAATCATACACAGCAGATTAGGGCAAGGCAAGCTTTTTGCTTCTGAGAAAACAAAAGTTTTCAAAACACTTTTCTTATCTCTTTTTGGTGGATGTTGCTATATTTAACTGAACCGTCCTTCTGAAAAGATTTGTGTTTTCAATAAGAAGCCATATTTCACTGAAAATGACTGACAGCTATGACAAAGCTGGCATTCCAGCAAATGACCATCAATAGGTACTTTCTGTCTACATGAACTTTCCCCAAATAACCCAGCTCTCCTTTTTCTGTCACAGCACATGTATACATGTGCAAAGCGCATCAGGATGCTGCAACAGCAAAGGGTTTTTTGGAGTCCTGACAATGCCAAAGGAAGGCAAAGAGGAATGCAAGAAGTGCCCTTAGCACAGAATTTAATTAAGGCATTCCCCAAATAAATATACATGAAGCAGGGCTAAAACTTATCACATCAGACAAGGAGATGTCAAAATGTACATCAGTGAAGCCTGTAACATCCTGAAGGTAGATAGCCTCTTTCTTTCCATTTGGAAGGAACTTAACACATTTTCATCCGAACCAAAAGCAGAGGGTAAACAATAGCGAGAAGGGAGATGGCAAGCAGGTGATGTGCCAGCTCTTGCAGCATGTACATCACCTAGTGGACATGCTCTGCATACTGAAGGGTGGAGATCTGTCCTGCCGCAGCATACTTTCTGCTCCCTTTATCAAGCACTTGTCCTGATGCACAGGGTACAGGTGGGATTTAGCCTGCACTCAGCCAAGCGGTGATGGATTTTGCAGAGTATGTGTATCACCAGCACGCACTGTGCAGCAACCACCTTTGGAGTGTGCCACCTGCAAAGGGTGTGCAACCAGGAGGGGATGGAAACTAAGCGCGGCCCATGCTAACATATAAAAAACACTTGTAAACTACAGGGGAAATTGGGAAAACATGGATAAGTTCATAAGTTAAAGCTATCAAATATCGAGCTAAACTGTTTAGTTTTATATGAACGTTTACTGTGCCTCAGTGAAAATAAGTGCTGGTGAAATGAGCACTGTGGCAGTCACAGTGCCAAGGCCTGGCCCAGCCCAAAACAACAGGGAGATTCCCGCATGCTTCCTGCAGCATACAGAGAGGTTTTTGGTAATGGAATTCATCTCAACGGAAAGACATCACCTCAAAACAGGCGCGGGCTTCAAGTCTGTAAATTTTGAGCAGAGAACTGTTAGAGCAGATTCCGGATGCAGACATGCAACAGAGTCTGACACCTGGAGCTGCGAGGCAATGATGATTAGGAGGGACATACATGTGTCTATTTTTAAATGGCACTGAGGTGAGTTGATACAGAAATTCTGTTCCAAGAATGTCAGTATGGATGAGTGCCCATAATATAATTATTTGCAGCAAAAAGCAAGCCACGTTTCAGCTCAGAACATTTGATCTGTCTATGTACAATCAAAATACAGTCAGTTTTGGACAGCATTGCAGGATATTTCTGACTCCCATGTGCAACTCCGCTTCCACCAGCCTTCCTCTCACACCATATCACACAGCGATACACGGTGTAAATCCTTCACATGTCAAATCAGACATGGCAGCTACAGTCTGCAGGAAAAATCTGCGGGGTGTAAAGTTACCAAGTATTTGTGAGGTCTGCTGTGAGCCTGCGTTTTTTTTCTTCCTGAAACATAAATTCATGTTTCAAAGAACATGTTTATTTTTCCTTTTGCACTAAAACATACCTGCTTTCTCCAGGAAATAAATAGAGAGAAGAAAAAGGTGTGGGTAAGAGAGGCGTGCAATAAGCCAGGCTTCACTCATCAGCTAGGGAATATAATGACAATATTTGGTAGTTACGATCTTTTATGACTTAGGAATCATGTCAATGTATTCTCTCTGCGTGATGGGGGAGCTCAGTCACTGCGTGAGGGTCTGCATCTATTGCTCTGTGAGGCAGGGCAGGCATTCTGAAAGGTGACTTCTGTACTATTCTCTTTACAGAAAATGGGAGATGTTAACTTGATTCAGTTTGTAAGTGGATGTTTAATGGCTAATAGCTTCCCATAGTTTCTAAATGATGCTCCTTCCCTCTTTCGTAAGATAATACCTGATCTCTCAAACTAAAGGTACAAGCCAGAGGTAACTGCTCTGGTGAGGTTTTTTTGTTGCTGTTGTTTTAAGCTGAGATTTCAGACTTGGCTTTCGGTCCTCAACACGTCAGCACAACATGCTCTGTGTCCTTCGACAATTCCTGCTCACTTTTCAGCTTTCCATTCAACAACATGGATGAAACTATCGTGCCACACAGATTTTCAGACTCAACCAAAGTCTCTGTCTGCAGCAGACAAAGGAAATATTGGAAATTTGCTATTTTTAGATTATTTTTAAAAAGCTTTTTAAAAATCAGCCAATAATTTTGGCCTCAAAATGGACCTCTGTAAAGCAGATAGCTTTTAAATTAGAAATCAATGCCCGGCTTGTGGCTTCCCACCAGTTGTGTAAATTGAAATCACTGTAGAACAAAACATGTCCTGATGTAATTGCTCCGTTGAGCTGAATTCACTTCAAGGTAAACTTGACCTCTTATTTTGCTATGCCAATCTGCTCATTAAAGCCCTGTGTATCTAAATATCTGTAGGAGAGATACATTTAACCGGATCCTAAAGCATACTTTAAACGTATTTTCAAAAACAACTTCATTTTCAAAGCCTGGCACAGCAGCGGATAAATGATGCTCATAAACGTCCTTTCCAGGAACGCGTATGCGCCTGTTGTGAGCACATGTAAAGCGCCTTTACATTCAGTACACCTATTTTAGTGCTTAAAATCAGGCACTTGCAAGTTTGCAAGAGCAGGCCCATAGCGTGTGTGTGAGTGTGCATACAGGGATAAACAATGCCGGCTGATGAGAAGTTTCTGCTACACACACCAGCGCTTTTAGTTAACATTTGCCATTAAAAAAAAAAAAAAAAAAAAAGCCCTACGCTAAATGCCCAGACAGTTCTGAGAGCTCCAATCACTAGCCTGAAACGCAACAAAAACACAGTTTTTTCCTCACTCTACGAAGTCGATTTTTTTTTTTTTTTTTTTTTTTTTTTTTTCATGGAGGTGCCTTCTTTGTGTAGCGTCAACATGACAGCAGAAGCACCGCTTCACTGTAGGTTGCATCACTGACAATGACATTCTCTGAGAAACGTGGAAGGGAATGACTGATGAATCGGAAAATGTATGGATGCCTCCTGAAACGATTAGGGAATGAAGTGCGGAGCAAATGGTGGCACACTCCTATTAATTGTAGCTGTTCGTAATTAATTTCCACTGCAGTCGCAATCGTGTTTCTGCTTTTGGAAGAATCCAGAATCCCCTTCCAGGAAAGTGTGAAATTGCATCTGGGTTCTGCAAACCACGAAAGACGTACATTTCTTTAAAAAAAGGGGGAAAAAAAGAAAAAAAAAAAGAGAGGGAGGCCTTCCTCAATACTGTACTTTATAAAGAGCAAAATACAAAGGGAAAAAGAAAATGATAATTGTTTTCTCTAAGGCTATTATCTAATGCGAAAGCAAACAGTCTGACTGGAAATCAGCTAACAGAAGGGGATTAGAGAGTAGATCTGAGAGTGGCTTGATTTCTAGCACTGCTGTCTCTTCACACAGTGATGAGACACAGGCAGAGCAGCCAGGAGCTCTCCAGATGGCCAGGGAAAGTGTTTGTCTTGGGTTACTGCAGGGCAGTCTGGACTCTTAAAGCCGGGGAGGCATCATTAGGGAGCAAGTTAGATGTCCACCCGGTAAAAGCGAGCGAGGGAAAGAAAGAGCAGGCGGGCTGCCCGAGAGGGACCGCGCTCGCCTATTGTTAACATCTACTTGACCCCCACTAACCCCCTCACGACACAGATGTCTCCTACCTCTATCACCTCCCACTGCTTTAAGCCCTCCCCCCCTGCACCTGGGTAGCGGGGCCGGGCCGGCTGCCGGCAGTATGCTGCCTGCCTCGCGAGGTGTCTGCTAGCGGGGAGCCGGGCGGAGCGGGGCGCGGAGCGGAGAGGAGAGCGGCGGAACGGAGCGCGGAGCGACGCGGCACAGCGCAGCGCGGCTCGGCCCGGCGATGCGTCGGCTGCACGGGGACAGGCACAGCCCCCGCCACTGACAGCGGCCGCTCCCTGCGCTCCGCATCACGTCTGGCTGCGGCGAGGAGAAGGAGCTGGGCGTTCGCTATCTCGGCTTGGAGACTTTATTTTTGCTTCTCGTCCTTTCCCTTGGAACCGGGAGGCTCTCTCGAGCTGATCCTCCTTTAAAAAAAAAAAAAAAAAAGAGAGAGAGAGAGAGGAGGAGGGGGGAAAGGAGCAGCTGGAGTTTCTCCTCAGCTCGTTTTGACTTTTGTGGACGTGGATCATCTGGACTGGGAAGGGAAGCCGCGCCGCGCTGCTCTCCCCGCTCCCACCCCCGCGCCCCTCCAGCAGCCTGGGCTGCCGGCGCTCCCCCGAGCAGGACGGGAACTTTTATTTGCAGCTCGCAGCCCGTGGCGAATGGTGGGAATCTCCGGTCCTCTGCAGTGTGAGTACGGGCGCGGGGCCGCGGCGCGGGGGTGCGGGCCCCTCTTTCTTTCCCCCTCTCCTTCCCGCTGGGGCTCCGCGGCTGGAACTAACCCGGGGCTGCGGCCGTGCCCGGGTGCATGCAGCTCCTCCACCGCTGTCCCCGCTCACCGGCTCGGCCCCGGATCTCTCAAAAGCCCAGGACCCGCAGCACTCAATTTGTGTAGAAAGCAGCCCTCCGAAGCTCCTAGCTTAGGGTTTCCGTCTCCATTTAGGACTAGTTTTGTTGTTTGGGGTTTTTATCTCCCTTTTTTTTTTTTTTTTTTTTCCTGCCCTCTTGCCAGATCCCAGACCTAGCCAATGTGAAACGGAGTGCCTGAAATATTTCTGGTGGGATTTTGTTGTTGTTCCGTTACAATCGTCGGATTATGTAGCACAGGCAACACCACTTCAGGCTATTTTGCGAGAAATATTTCAGGCTGTGCACATCGTCTTCCATTGCATCGAGGTTTCGTATCTCGCTTCCTGAAACGAGAGGGCAGCGTTAGGGAGTGCGTTTCCCAAACTGCAGTAGGATGTGATCGTGTCACCTCGCCGAGCTGAGCAGGAGGGATCGGTTCCATACGGGGGGCTGAGGGATGAACACCACACGCCCGCCCGTGCAAACGAGCGTTGCACTTTGGGCTACTTCGAGTCCTTTTGTTAGTGCCAAAGTTGGGAGACGGGGCGAAAATCGGACACGGGGGAGGAAAGCACTCGCGGGCCTCGTTGGGGCACCCCCAGCACGTGAATTCTGTTAAATTCTGTGTCCAGAAATAATCAGTGTTGTCACTGCCCTCTGCTCCCCGAAACGTTAGAGAGAAACTGAAAGCAACTGTGGGATCGCCCGCAGCGGAGCTTTGGGGCCGGTCCCCGGGGTGCGGGAGGGCGAAGGCATGCGGCCCCACCGTCCCTATAGCCGCCCGGTCTCCCGCTCAGCCATCGGTCCAAGAGCGGCTGCGGGCTTCTAAGTCGAGAGGAGCCGGATCTTGGAGACTGCTGGGTGCGGGCTGCATCCCCGGCTTGTTCATCGCTGCGGTGCGGGCTGCGATCCGCTGAGCCCCAGGTAGCGATCCTGCCTTAAGGAGCTGCCCGAGTTTGGTACTACCCGGTGCAGCAGGGCTGGAGATCGCTTGATCTTGTGGTAGGAAGCCGCGCGGTTCCGCAGACAAACCAGGACGCCGGTGACGGGCGTAGGGTGTTAGAGCTGGGGAGAAGAGAGAGGGATATACCCCCTAAAAGCAGCCCGCATGCACAGCTGTGGGTGTACAGCGAGTGCCAAACGCCTGGCTGTGGGCATACCCTCGTGTAACTGAAGGATGCCTTCTGAGTCTCGGTATGTAAGAGCCGAGGGGCTGCTCCAGCGAATATACGTATGCTTAATGTAACTCTGACCCCTTTAACTTTTAACATCGCTTCCCCTAATTAATCTGTTCAGGCCCCAGACTTAAATGGCTGTCCGCAGCTGCTGCAAATTGATTTATCCCCTGATGGTGGTCTGACTTGCTGACCAAAGCAGGATTTATTTTTTTTTTCTCCCTACCCGTTTTTGGTCTGCTAATCTGTTTTGACTTATTTTCTCCTTCAAGCAGTACTCGCATGCTTTTTGAAGGACTCAGAAAATATTTTCTTTTGACATGTAGCTAGAAACATAATTATTGTATTTGTAAACACAATATGTTCGGGCTAAGGGTGATTGTAATTTATTTAATTATACCCTCATAGCCTCACATTTCCTCTGTTTCTGCATCCTGACGGATGCAATGGGAAGTTTAAATGAGTAACTTTGTTAAGTGCAGTTTGAGGCAAGATGGGAGAGATGCTTTTAGATGTGAGTTCTGTTGTGCAGGTCTTCTGCTCTGCTTTTCTCCGAGCAGTTTGGGTGAAGCTGGGTGGTAAGAGGACTGAAACTGATTTCTGATGGCTGTTAAAGCTGATGCTTGACCTTTCCATGGGAAGTCTGAAAACCTCATGCCGTTTATTCTGGGCTGATTTCCTTAGGAAATCCAATACGAGCAGGGAACTTCCTTCAGCCTGGCTGAATGCTAGGAAAGTTTCCGTCTTGTTTATATGGTCTGGTTTTAGCACGAGGCATGTTTCTGGGGCTCCCCATCAATAGAAATAATACTAGGAAAAAGATCTAAGCATGGCATGTTCCTAACGGTTCAGTATATGGAAACACAAAGTTGGCAAAGGCTTCATTAGTTGTGAGACGAGCTGCAGGCTCCCTGTCAAAGCTTTCAGTGAAGAAGTAGCGCTGTGTTTGGTAACTGACAACTTTCTGAAGGTTACTTTTACAAGATCTGAACCTGGGGGTAGAATTGCTACCTTCAGTTCCTGCATCACTTTTCCTTTCCATCACGGAAAACTCACATCATGCAACAGTGTGAAGGAAAGCCCAGTCCCCACCAAGACCCAGCACCCCAAAGTTTGCTGATGCTGAGCTGAAGCCAGGCTGGGTGTGAGGGAGGTGGTGGGACACAGCGAGCTGTCGTGGGGCCGGTGGGGCCGGTGGGAGCGGGCCGGAGGAGACAAGAACCATTCTGTTTGTAATGGAATGCAGACAGCAGCGTTAGGTCACTGCTTCCTGGCAACTGCTGCACGAGTTGTTTTCCTTCAAAGGCTTTGAGCTTTTAAATAGTTTCCAAAATCTTTTCAAGTAAAACATTGCCTTCTACCATTTCTGACCACCTTAACGTTAACTCGTTTCTTGCCTAAATAATGGACCAGTAAAACATCACACGGCATCTCATCTGTATACACTTAACACTATGTATGCCTGCGCGCACATGGAGTTCAGTGCCAGAAGTATTGTTTGTAGAATAAAGGGGAGAAAAACAGCTCCACCTGGAGTGCTGGCCAGTGGCTAGTCAGCTCAGAACGTTCTTCCCTGTCAAATCCTGTTTCTCACTTCTCTGAAATGAACTTCAGCCGACAGGCGTTGAATGCGAAGCTCGCTCCATTGAGGTACTGTGCAGCCTGTGAGCCCCTCATTGCAGGCACTTGGGGTGAAACAGGCGTCTGCGGTATTTGCATTGGGGGTGATGGGAGAATGGGCTTGCAATTGTCATTTCCATCTTTGAAATCCACTTGCCACAGTCCATTACTGTTAAATCTTTAGCTAATTGAATAAGGATATTAGTATGTCGCTGTTGCGGGAGCTTCAGATTTGTTAGGCTGAGGGGGAGACCCTGGTCTTTGTTCTGTAGCAACTTAAGTTGTCATGCGGGGATCAAGAAGCCTTATCAACTGAAATGAAACGTGAACTTGGTGTTGTGAAGAGGTTATTTCTCATGGTCTGGCTGAAAAACCGCTGAAAGAAATTATTTTAAATCAGAATAAATTAAAAACCTTGGATCTGTTTAGTTAGTAGCAGCCTGCTTTTTTCATACAGCCTTTAATAGCAACCTAGAATATTTATAAGATTTTAAACTGACACTGAATTTAGCATAAGGACCGAGAGTAAATTCTTAAAATATTGGCTTCCAGATTTCATTTTCTTCACCTACTTTCACATTAAAGATCTAAAGAAAGTTAGTTTAAAAACTGAAGTTTTACTGTAAAAGGTCTAGTTTCCCTTCAGTAAATGTTACTTTTCAAAGAACTGCTTTAAAATTGCGGTTATTTTCTTCTTGTTTACTATAAACCTGATTAGCTTAATATATGGTAGCATAAATGCATCAGGAAGTAGTATACTGTGTGGTTTTGTGGATAAAGAAAAACGATCAGCAGATGTAAGATCGAAGTCAAAATATCCTGCCCTTCAAAAGGCTTTTTATTTCCCTTCAAAATAATTTCATCTGAGAGACATTGACTTCCATCTTCATTTTTTTTTTTTCCCTGCCATTGATATGAAAGTTTCCAAATATCGTTTAGAGAACAGTGGACGTTTTATTAAAGTAAACATTAGTTCAGTATAATGGAGGTAATTGTAAGTGATAAGAGCAGAGCAGGTTATCTGTGTGTTGTTTAAACAGAAGGAGCTATTTTGCACCATTTCCAGTAGCCATCTGTAGAGGAGAAGGGTTTGCACCTGTCTGTCCACACTAATTATAGATTAGGTCCAAAGAAATGAAATTCGAGTAGGCTTTCTCTTAATGAAATCCATAGTGATTTTATTGTAAATGTGTTTTGTGTACAGACGGTGATGGTTGGGCTGCGAGTAAAATAAATTGCTGTATGGCCGTCATGTACCTGTGGTTGTAAAGCAGGATACTGCTGCATTAACAAAGGTGCTGAATAAAAACACACTGCTCCATTTATGTCCCAGGCTTCAGTTGTAGATTTAGTTCAGTTTAGCCAAAAAGGTTCACTTCAGGCACAGTCTTTTGCGGGTATGTTTCAGGGTTGACTTCTCAGTTACCATCATTTTCATGCCAGTGTGCTGGCACAAAGGTGGTCCTGTGGCTGAAATATATGGGGTAGACATGGTTTCCTATTAAATATGTATATATGCATGTAGATACTTTGCTCTGGTTTAATATTGTATTGCTAAAATAAAGTGGAAAGAGTGAGAAATGCCTTCTGCAGTAAAAGGTCACATGAATTTCTACCACATCTGTTTATAGTAATTATGAACATAATTAACATAAGAATTACAAGTGAAGTAATGACAAGCTGAGCTATGAGATATTGTGCCATAATGGTCATATGTTGGAATTCTCACATTATAACACACTAGAATTCACATATTCAATGCAAGAAAGAAAATGTTAGATTTTTATCTATTTTAATGCTTCAAAACTTATCTGCCTGGGGCAGATGGACTTTACGCTTTATAGGAAGGTAACCCATGATTAAGAGGGAGTCAGTTGAAATTAAGATTTCTAGCCTGCAGCTTGGACTTTGAGACAGCTGTGCTTATGGAACGCCACTTCTGTTACACATTTGTAGTCTGATTGTATTTATTTTATTACCACACATTGCTTTATTTTTAAATGTGAGTGTTTTTGCAGCAAACTGTTTACATTAGAAAAGATCCTG